AGTGATCTGATCAAAGTCTGAAAAATACTTCCGTATAGGCAAACACCCTGAATTATCTATATTTTTCCTTACTAAAACTATTAAAAATCTCGTTTTTCTCAAGTGGAAAACCAGACTTTTTATTTATAATTGCTGCTTCTATTTGCCTTTCATTCTAGATAGGCCTTAATCATTGCTGTTCTTTAATTTTAAATGAATTTATCTAATACATGTAAATTGATGGAAATATTTTAGAAAGCTGTTCTACTTTAGAATAAAGGTAGACTCTCTTACTTAGCTCACTTTAAACTTTATCTTTAAAAAATGAGTACGTTTTGCAAAGTGTGGTGGCAAATGCCTATAATCCCAGAGGCTTAGGAGGCTGAGGCTGGAGTATCAAAGCCAGTCTCAGCAATATACCGAGACCCAGTTACTATATAAAAAAATTTCAAAAGGAGTCTGGAAATGTGGCTCAATGGTTAAGCACACCGGATTCAATCCCTAGTACAAAAAACCCACATTTTTAAAAAATGCTTCTTAGAGTAAATATAGTTAAAATATTCCATGTCAACATTAAGTCACTAATATTTGGTTATTTGATTCAGAATTTTTTTTTTTTTTTTTTTTTACCTTTCTCAAAACAGCCTGGAAGAGTTGTGACTCTCGTTGAAGATCCTGGGGTATGATATAATTATTTCTTTTTATATAGACTTTAATTGTAAAAATGTTGAGATGTTTCTTGTTCTAATAATTAAATTTTATGAATAGTTTTCAGACTATTGAAACTATACTAAGTCTAGAACTCTTCTGTATTTGTCGTGAGTTATTTGGCTTTGTTTTTCATGTTTGTAGAAAATTAGGCCAGTAGGAAAAGTTAGAATGCAGAATGCAAAGTAACAACAAAATACAACCAAATGACATGTATTTTCATTCTAGCAAGTTTTTTTTTAAGAGTTTGAGAATTTTGTGGTCCCCTTTGACATTAATAGATAGTGGTAGTGTGGCTAAGAATCAAATATAACTGTGAAGTCTCTCTTCCATTTGCTAGAAGTCTAATATTTTCAGCAGAGAACTAAGTAAAGAATTCTCACTTTCTGTGTTGCCTAATTTTATCAGTAAGACTGTTTTTAACAGGTTTGAAGTATCAGAACTCTTAAATTATAGTTCTCAGTTTCTTAAATATTTTTAATCATTTTGTTTGCATACAGATCTAAAATTTTATATTGTGGAATTAAAGATTAAATTTTGCAAAGGACTTTGATATACAAAAATAAAACAGCTACCAATAACAGATCAATAATGGTATAGACTAGGAAATGCTTTCCTAACTTACACTAGGGAAAATCATCTATAAAAACAGCTTTAAGCTGGTAACTATAACTTCTAATCAACAGTATTAAAAAAAACAAATGTTTTTATAGAATTTCTTAATGACCCAATGAAAACATGAAATTTTCATTTCAGTCCCATTAGTTGATAAAAAAAAATCTGATTTAAAGTTTTTAGTGATAAATATGTTGTGCCTATGATACAAAGAAATTATTTATTCAGATTTTTAAATACTGATTTCCTTTATTGTTTAGTATAACCTCTTCAATGAACTCTAAGTAAGACAAAACAACTGCATTTTCTTCTACCTATACAAGATATTTTCTTAGACATAACACATTTTTACCTATTTTGATTAGGCTTGTAAATGCTAACTAGTGTGTTCTTTTATTTTCCAACAGGGTTGTGTTTGGGGTGTTGCTTACAAACTGCCAGTAGGAAAAGAAGAAGAAGTAAAAGCATACCTTGACTTCAGAGAGAAAGGAGGCTACAGAAACATAACAGTCATTTTTTATCCAAAAGATCCCACAACAAAACCATTCAGTGTGCTGTTATATATTGGAACGTGTGATAATCCTAATTATCTTGGTCCTGCCCCTCTGGAAGACATTGCTGAACAAATTTTTAATGCAGCTGGTCCAAGTGGAAGAAATACGGAGTATCTTTTTGAGCTTGCCAATTCTATTAGAAGCCTTGTACCAGAAGATGCAGATGAGCATCTTTTCTCCTTGGAAAAATTAGTAAAGGAACGTTTAGAAGAAAAACAGAACCTCAGTTGCATATAAAGACCTAATCATTAACTTATTTAAATAATAGATCATTTAGTCTTCAAAGAGTAACTTCAGCACACAATGACAATATTTTGGAAATTTGTTTAGTTGAAGATCTTATTGTTTTTAATGTTATAGCCAGGATATCATCTAAATGTATAATTTAAGTGCAAGTGTCCTGAAACACATATATTCAGAAGACTGACATACAGAGAAAGAAAAAATTCAAGTTTTAATAATATAATGATTTCCTAATTATATGATATCGAACACTTGCTCATCACAAGTGAATTCTTTAGAAACATACAAAGTACTCCCTTCGGCAGCACATATACTAAAATTGGAACAATACAGAGAAGATTTGCATGGCCCCTGCACAAGAATAACGGGCAAATTTGTGAAGCATTCCATATTTTTAAAGAAGCAAAATATAGAAAGACTTGGTTCAGTTCTTGTTTGTATCAGAGTAAAATAATCTTGTTTCATTTCACAATACTATTTTGAGGTTATAGAGAATTAAGCCAGAAGTCCAATAAATATTATAAATATTACTATACCTTCAATATGTTCCTATAAAATAATTCTATAACGATGGTTAGAATATGTAAGCTTAAAATGATGTGCAATTTTAAATGTATGTTAATACAGACGACATTTTATTTTGGCCTTGAATGTGAATTTCCTTGTTATTCAAGTATAAAATGAGACTTTCAAATTCAGGCCAAAAGAAATTGGCATTTTTTTATTATAAAAATATCCTTGGAATTTTAGTCTGCTGTATCTCTCCTTTCTTGAATAAATGCATTACACTACATAGAAAATAATTCATTTAGCTAAACAGTACAAAATAGTACAAATCACATCCACTAATAATAATGTCATTTATTTTGTACTTATTCTGAAATGGAAAAAAAGGGATAGACTGATAATTATAGATTAACAGAAACATATACACACATATATATAATGAAATTTGCGTGTCTGAAATAGCCTTTGGAATTATAATTGTTTAAAAAATTAAATGGTATTACCTGATTATGTGCTACACAACTTTATATTCTTTCCTGAATCTTGTCACCTAAATAGGAGTATCAACTGTGTTTGTGCTATTACTCACATAGGAAAAAAAATACTTAAATTATGAACTCATGTAAAATTATCCCTAATTTAGGAGCTAAATTGTAAGATTGTAAGAGATTTCTTTCTCAATACAATACAGCCTAAAGAATCTTTCAACATGAAATGAATTTCAGTATCATGTTAAATCTAATAGAAAACTTTATAAAACTCTTCAAATCTACACATGACTAATAATTAGTACAGAAGTTTTTCACACAAATTACTGTTGTCCTATATAATACAAACAATTGTCCTTCCCCATTTTTCTATTTATTAGTCTCTTAGTAACCATTTTAAATATTTTCTAATAATTTAAATTTTTAATTTTCCTAAAGTCATTTCACATGTCTAGTACTACAGAAAATAAACGAGCATTTATTAATATCTAGGATACATAGACTGCACTAGGCACTTATGGAGGCAATATGTCCCATTTTTTTGTATAACTCCTCTGAGCTATCTTTTACAGTAACCTGCACTCAGTTACATAGCTAGTAAATGGCTGAAATCCAGATCTCTCTTTTAAAAACCACATGAACTTAAAAACCATATTTTCACCATCCTGCATCTTTTCTCCAAGAGGTAAAAAACTTTCACATTTTTGTATAATGAAACAGTATATAACTTATTATTACACAAAAAAAGTTAATTTCTATTCCCACACATATAATAAGCCTATCCAAGATTCACAGGCCACAGCTCAGAGTCATATAGGTCAATACAGAGGAACAGCTTTTCATTTTACAAACAAATCAAGGCCCAAAGGAGTTTGGGACTTACCAAAGTGATTCTTCTACCATTTAACATGTACAAATAAGTTACAAAAAACAGGTTATTTGGGGGAATATCCAATTGCATGTTTTTCTAGGCTTTCAGTTAGAAGTTAGAATAGAAAGTATATGAACATATTCATGGTATAACATCAACATTTATAGTAAGGCTGTGTTCCAAAGAGCCAGGAGTTTTCATTAGGATGGGCAGAAACCTGAATAAAATGAAGAAGTTAAACAGTACTATATTAGAGAGAAGCTGGGGTCTGGAGTCTTCAAGTTAGAAATAACTATTAACTCTGGTACAAAATTATCTAGAATGAAAGTCTTCCTAGCAAAGCTGCAAATCTCTCTTAATGGCCCTCAAATCTTACTTTCAAAACATTTTTTTTCATTCTGCCATAACTACATACATGAAACTAGGATTCTCTTCTTCAGAGTACAAATGTTAGGTAGGTGTTACATTTTAGAAATCAAAAAAGTATGAGTACATTTAGAAAAGAAACCTTTTTCTTAATATGACATAATTTATTTTAAATATGTAAGTCAGCATAATTTTCATGGTTACAAATCCTATAAGCCTTAAGTTGAAAGTCAGAAGGAAGTTAAAAACATATCACTGCTATTACCACTTAACATCATTCTCGATAGTCCATCCAAAACATTTAGAAACAGATATTAAAAGTATAACAAATATTGCCATTATTTCCTGGAAGTGATTATTTACCTAGAAAAAATACTTATAAATAAAAATTCACTAAGATACTTAGGAAAAATACTCAATGGGTTTTGTATAAAAATGATGTTAACTATTATGATGCTAATATTCATGAGAATAAAATATGAAAACAGAAATATTGAGAGGGAAATTGTAAGAATGTACTGATCTCTGGTAGATTTTTTAAAATACCAGCAAAACAAAAGTATTAAAGTACTGTGATACTGGTGTATAAATACAAGTCAGAATAGTGCACTCATCTATATGTTTCTATGTATGTTCCTATCCTGAATACTAAAGGTGACATTCACTCACCTGGAACAGCTGAAAGGATTGGAAGATTCTGCCCAGAATAAATTCAGACATCACTTGGAAAAGCAGTTCCCAGAATCATGAGACACTGATCCTAAGGAAGAGCTGGTTCAAATAAATTGGATGGGGGCTGGGGATGTGGCTCATGTGGTAGCGCGCTTGCCTGGCATGCATGCGGCCCGGGTTCGATCCTCAGCACCACAAAAAAGATGTTGTGTCTGCCGAAAACTAAAAAATAAACATTAAAAATTTCTCTCTCTCTCTCTTTAAAAAAAATAATAAATAAATAAATTGGATGTTTTTAACTAGAAACATGTTTTAACTTTTTAATTTCTATTTTTTAAATTAGTAAAAACAGTTTCATTGAGTCCAAAGAGTTAAATATGCATATATATATATATATATATATATATATATATATATTTTTTTTTTTTTTTTTTTTTTTTTTTTTTTTTTGCTACCCACGGTCAGAATGTTCAACTCTTTATTTCAGGTAGTAGGGAAAGAAATACCTGAGTCTGAATTTTTTCTTAGGGCATCTACCCTACCTTCCATCAAGTACTCCTCAGAGATTCAAGAGTGGTGGTAATTCAAGAGGCTGAGGCAGTAGGATTGCAAGTTCAAGACTAGCCTCAGCACCTTATCGAGATCCTAAGCAACTTAGTGAGATGCTGTCTCTAAATAAAATATAAAAAAGGCTGGGGATGTAGCTCAGTGGTTAAGAGCTCCTAGGTTCAATTGCTAATACCAAAAAAAAGAAAAGAAAAAGAATTACTCCTCAGACTAAATTTAGTGTAAAAGTCCTAAGGGACAGTTTCAGAGAGAAGGGGTTTGGGGTGTGGGTCACAGCCACCACATACAGGGAGAAAATTAGAGCAAAATTTTTTATATCAGGAATATTCAGTCCAGTCCTCTGAGCTCCCACAACCTAATCATTTCATTATGTATTTCAAGACTTCATTGCAGGGAGTTCCTCTGAAGATAGTATTAGGGGAAGATACTGGCTAATGCTTACATTATCTTAAAAGGGCCCTTGCTCTCAGGCTTATGGACCTGATATAAAGTACTGCTACAAATTCTTCCCAACCTCTTATTTGTATCAAGGAGGAAGAAGGGGAAAGAGGTAAAGAAAAAAAGCAAGAAAATAAAAATGGGGAGGGACATCAAGTTCCCTTGCCTTTGATATGGATGCCCTGGACTTGCTGGGAAGTTCTTTGTCCAAACCTTTTAGAGTGTGAACCAAGCTCAGATGGAGTCCAAGGAAGGGGTGTTCTAAGGAAGATAAACTAGAGCCACTGCCCTCAGACTCAGTCTTCATCATCATTCAATGCTGCAGTCTAAGAGTTGCTCCCATCATCTTCCTCCCCACCTCCTTCTTATTCTCTTCTGGTCATGGTAAAGGATAACAGTTGACTTAAACAGTCTGACAAATGTGTCCCTGGACCCTGGAGCCACACCTCCTCTCCAATCTTTTCTTGCAGACTCCTGGCTGATAAGGACTGTACATCTGAACTTGGTCCTGCCTCTTCACATGCAGCATACTCCTTAGGCAAACAATTCTCAAGCCAGAGATCCATGTCCAACCTGTATGTACTGTTTCCACAGCTCCTCAGCCTGGCTCTTATATTGTTCTTATGGGTCCTGGGAGAAGAGCTGCCCATCTCTACCATGCAATTCCTGTTGCAGCTCCCTTCTTAAATATAAATCCTGATAGAACATGTGGTATCTTTTCAAGGATGGCCTCTTTGGCTCTCCTTGAAATTTCATCTTCTTGGAAAATAAAAACATAGTTTTCTGGATGATATCTCACTTCCTCCACATTTCCTGAAACTTCTTTTGGCATTCAGTTCAGTAGACATTGGGGATAAAAGATTTCTTTGAGTGCTGAACTACAGTAGGACAATCTTCATTGGGTTGATGATAAGTATTCCCTCAAACTACTGTTTCTCCAGGAAATCTTGAATATATATACTTTTGCTTCATTTGCTCTAGAAGCTCCTCCACGGGGTTTTTTGTTTTGTTTTGTTTTTAAATGTAGATGGACACAATACCTTTGTTTATTTATTTTTATGTGGTGCTGAGGCTCAAACCCAGCGCCTCGCACTTGCGACGTAAGCACTCCACTGCTGAGCCACAACCCCAGTCCCCTTCCATGGATTTTGATTAGGTCCCAATTGTACTGCGAAATTAGACCAGTGCTTTTTTTTTTCTTTTAATTTTCTTAGTCATAGATGGACCCAATAGCTTTATTTTTATTTATTTATTTTTATGTGATGCTGAGGATCGAACCCTGAGCCTCATGCATGTGAGGCAAGCGCTCTACAACTGAGCCACAACTCCAGCCCCAGTGCTTCTTTGTGAAGTCCATAATTACATACTTTTTTCTATTATTTTCAGGAATTGTTAACTTGTTCTTTAGCATCTAATTCTTTCTAAGTGCAATACTTTTTCAATTCAAGAAATCTCTAACCATTTAAATGTGCACATTTCCCTAGAACAACCCTTAAAAGCTACTTTTTCCTAGTCTAGACATGACTCTGTTACCTTTTTTTTTCTTCCAGAAACACAGAGGTTTATTTAGGGAAGCAGATACATATCCAAGAAAGAATAGTGGCAATCTCAAGACAGAGACACCTTTGGGATTATGCAAGGAATACACATTCAAGGGAGAATGTGGGCCATATCAAGAGTGAGAGATATGTTTCGGGGGATGACTCTGTTACTTTGAAGTGATGCTGTCATCGGGTAGGAGTTTTTTGTTTTGTGCTTCTGGGAGGGGAGAGTACTGGGGATTGAATCCAGGGGCACGTTAGTACTGAGCCACATCCCCAGACCTTTTTATTTTTTAAGACAGGGTCTCACTAAGTTACTAAGGCCAGCCTTGAGCCTGCAATCCTCCTGCCTCTGCCTACTGAGCCTCTGGGATTACAGACATGCGCAACTGCACTTGGCTTGGGTGGAATTTCATTCTGCATGCATTCAAGAATATCCTCTTCTAACCAGGATTTGGTCATGAGGTGAAGCCATTTCAAGGTCTTTGGGTCTTTTAATAAGATTCAAGGCTCAAAGTTCTGTACTATCAAGGCTCGGCAGGTAAATTATTTTCACAAGTTCTGTACAGTGTGTGATTCTAGATTTCTGAAGTTTCTAAAATCGGTTTCATCAGTATTTGTAGCAAAGTCCATTCACACAATACCCACCTGACTCAAGTCTGTGTTCTCTGGGCTCCCTAAATCGCAGTTATAACTTTCTGAAGTTTTCATAGTCCAGCCAAATCCAAATATCTCTGAACAGAAAACATTCTAATTTTGGGATCGATTTATATTAGGATTTTTTTTCCCTCAGCTGAGGAGCCCTGAATTTAGGAAACCCCAATGTTTTATTTATTTTTTATTTTTTTATATTTTCTGGTCATATACAAAGTATATTCACACCAATTCATGTCTTCATACATGTATACTTTGGATAATAAAGATCATCACATTCCACCATCATTAATAACCCCATGTCCCCCTTCCTTCCCCTCCAACCCCTTTGCCCTATCTAGAGTTCGTCTATTCCTCCCATGCTCCCACTCCCTATCCCACTGTGAATCAGCCTCCTTATCTCAAAGAAAACATTGGGCATTTGGTTTTTTGGGAATGGCTAACTTCACTTAGCATTATCCTCTCTAATTCTATCCATTTGCCTGCAAATGCCATGATTTTATTCTCTTTTATTGCTGAGTAATACTCCATTGTGTATATATGCCACATTTTTTTTATCCATTCATCTATTGAAGGCTATCTAGATTGGTTCCAGAGTTTAGCTATTGTGAATTGTGCTGCTATAAACACTGATGTGGCTGTTTCCCTGTAGTGTGCTGTTTTCAAGTCCTTTGGGTATAGACCAAGGAGAGGGATAGCTGGGTCAAATGGTGATTCCAGTCCCAATTTTCCAAGAAATCTCCATACTGCTTTCCATATTGGCTACACTAATTTGCAGTCCCACCAGCAGTGTATGAGTGTACCTTTTCCCCCACATCCTCCCCAACACTTACTGTTGTTTGTCTTCATAATAGCTGCCATTTTGACTGGAGTGAGATGAAATCTTTGAGTAGTTTTGATTTGCATTTCTCTAATTGCTAGCAATGATGAACATTTTTTTCATATATTTGTTGATTGACTGATTGTATATCATCATCTGAAAAGTGTCTGTTCAGGTCCTTGACCCATTTATTCATTGGGTTATTTGTTTTGTTGATGTTTACCTTTTTGAGTTCTTTATATACCCTAGAGATTAGTGCTCTATCTGATGTGTGAGGGGTAAAGATTTGCTCCCAAGATGTAGGCTCTCTATTCACCTCACAGATTGTTTCTTTTGCTGAGAAGAAACTTTAGTTTGAGTCCATCCCATTTATTGATTCTTGATTTTAATTCTTATGCCACAGGAGTCTTATTAAGGAAGTTGGGGCCTAATCCACAAGATGGAGATTAGGGCCTACATTTTCTTTTACTAGACACAGAATCTCTGGTTGTATTCCTAAATCCTTGATGCATTTTGAGTTGAGTTTTGTGCGTGGTGAGAGATAGGGTTTTAATTTCATTTTGTTGTATATGGATTTCCAGTTTTCCCAGCATCATTTGTTGAAGACCCTATCTTTTCTCCAATGTATGTTTTTGGCATCTCTGTCTAATGTAAGAAAATTGTAGTTTTGTGGGATAGTCTCTGTGTCCTCTAGTCTGTACCATTGGTCTACCAGTCTGTTCTGGTGCCAATACCATGCTGTTTTTGTTACTATTGCTCTATAGTATAGTTTAAGATCTGGTATAGTGATGCCCCCTGCTTCACTCTTTCTGCTAAGGATTGCTTTAGCTACTCTGGGTCTCTTATTTTTCCAGATGAATTTCATGATTGCTTTTTCTATTTCTAAGAGGAATATTATTGGGATTTTTATCAGAAATGCATTAAATCTGTATAGTGCTTATATTAGGATCGTTGAAACCCCATCCTGACTAGGTTTCTGCAACATGGAAGTTCTTCTCATCTTTTTTTGGGGGGGGTGAGGGGCATGGGGGAAATATTGGGAATTGAACCCAGAGGCACTTTACCATGAAGCTATATCCCTAGTCCTTTTATTTTGAGACAGGCTCACTAAATTGCTGAGATCCTTTCTAAATTGCTGAGGCTGACCTCTAACTTGTGATCTTCCTGCCTCAGTTTCTCAGAGTTGCTGGTATTAGAGACAT